CATATATGTACCGAGTTCAGTAACATGGTCGGCCTTAAAAACATCGATACGTAGTATGATTGAGACTTAAGGTGCAAATCCAGCTAACACCTTCTTGATGCATTCAAATCACCTGATACTAGTTCTTTCTCTCACTGGCTCGTAATGCCTTAGCCATACTCCAGTATAGATCTGTGCAGCCACACAATACAATGAGCCATGAGCCTATCTTGTGATCTATCAAACAAAGTGTATCTTTGTACAAGTCATTGATGATCTATCGAGTGTATTTTACCTGTTGTGGTCTCGTGATCTTAGTGTCAGGATCATCTAACGACTCATACCAGTGTGCCAAGTATCCAACCATACGCGGCACTGCCACGATTTCTATTGGGACTTTCATTGCCCTGTGCTTTTTTAACCCATTTCAATCACCAACACAACTCATTAGCAAGAATTTGTTAGATGACTCGTTGATTCTTACCTATAGACTAATCCAGAGTAGAAATCGACATTCGGGTAAATCTTTCTCTTAACAAAATATTCATCAGATAGCGCCGCCTTCTCTAAAGCAACTGCTACCTGAAAAACATCATGCATCAAAATCTTTCTTAAACCACAAACCATCTACAAGTAGAGAGATAAGTGAGCTCAAGGATCTAAAGTACCTCGATCAGAGGATCTTTTCCAACAATGGAGAACACTTCATCAGCCAATTTCTTGATGACTTTTGATCTTAGATCGTAGTTCTTGTAAACACGATGTCCAAAACCTGAAATCTTCCTCTTTCTGCAAGAAAAGAGTTTAAAATCAATGGAATGACTCATCACAATCCATATACTTTTAGTCTTTGAGTTACCTATTCTTCACGCTTTGGATGAACTCTGTAATATTTTCAACTGCACCACCATGAAGTGGACCAAAAAGCTCTTTAAGAGCTCCCGCAACAACACTGTACACATCAACACCACTACACACAACAAAAAACAATACTGATTAAAAAAAAAAACATATCTCATTATCACACTCGATGAATCCTCTAACCATTAATGATAAGTACCAAGATGCAAGATGCCGAGCAGCAGCAGTAGAACAGTTCATTTCATATTCAGCATGCAATATAAATACGATGTCCAATACTCGAGCTAGCCGAGGATTCGGCTTGTAAGAACTATCTCCCCTGTTACAGACATGTTTGAAGCTACTAGAAACGGATCTAAACCGACTAAACCAGTGAATGAAAGCGTTTTGAAGCCTACATTGAATCCAACATATAGAGGAAATTCTCCGCATAAGAAAGGTTGCTCAAAGGAAGAACATGAGGCTTGCCTACTGTCTTCAAATAAGCAGCCACTGCAATTATTGGTGCCTGTAGACACCAACTATAAGTAACAGTCTGGTTATTACAATAAGACACTAAATTAACAGATACAACAATACCTGTCCAAGAATACGAAGAATCTGTTTATCGCGAACTTGTTTTGACTTGTAAATATCATGTCCCTGCATCCAATGGAGGAATTTCAATGAAAATCAAGAAGACAAAAAAAGAATGGAGTAGAGCGAGTTTGGCGTAGACATTTTCATAAAATGCAATCTTGTAAAACTTACTATAAGAGGGAAAGTGTACTCATCGCGCTGACAAGAGCACCCGTTGGATGTACATCATGAGGCATGGACTGACTGATATCCTACGAAAAACATTCGGAAACAAACTCAGGTCGAAGATGCTACTAAAAACCGGCACCAAGATTCTTTTACTACGCATTCATATACATAACAAGCAAGCAAGACAAACGTTTTCAAAATCCATCTTTGGTTTGAGATTTACATCTTGATCATAGATAGAAAGTTTGGAATTTTACACCAATACTCCTTGTGGTACTTCTGAATGCTGAGAAACCGCAAACTCCCAATCCGCTAACTGACTTTGAGAAGGTAGATTCCCATAAACTGCAAGAAACAAAAAAAAAAAAAGACTATGATGAAACATTTGCTTTGTACAAAAATTAAGGAAACAGTAAGCAACAACAAACAAGAAGCTACTACGAGAAGATGATCAAGACTTACTAAGGAGACAAGCAACCTCCATAAAAGTACTTCTCTCAGCCAATTCTTCGATTGGATATCCTCGATAACGTAGGATTCCTTCATATCTCCATCGATATAAGAAATCGAAGATTGAACAGGAGCAGTGTTTAAGTAACCAGGATCATATAACTTAATCCCCTTGTCATTATTTTTCCCTGTCGTTATCTACACACCAAACATGCAAAAATCCATCTCTAAGCTGCAACAATATACAATAACAGAAACCAATTACAAAGTCGTTATAATATTACCTTCTTGAGATCAACGGATTTACTTGTCAAGATTGTTTTCCTCATTTTTTTAAAATGATTGGAAAACTTCAGGCAAATTAGAATCATTTCGAAGATTCAGGGATTAAAACCTATTACATAATCTTGTGGTGTGAAGTCCAAATGGTTTAAGGAGAAAATAATGTCATATCATGTTGAACGAGAGATTAGTTTATGGGTTGTTATCATCTGATGGAGTATATATCGAAAGTCTACATTACTTATCCACTCCACGAATTTAGTAATATTCAGTCAATTCCCTATAACAACATTTTTATTAAATCAT